TGGATTACATTGATGGATTTCCGAATATTGAACCATCCCTGCATTCCTGGGATAAAGCCTACTTGATCATGATGATGATTGTTTTGATGTGTTCTTGGATTGGGTTTGCTAGAATTTTATTGAGTATTTTTGCATCGATATTCATGAGGGAGATTGGTCTGAAGTTCTCTCTCTTTGTTGGGTCTTTGTGAGGTTTAGGTATGAGCGTGATTGTGGCTTATTGAACGAATTGGATAGTGTTCCTTCTCTTTCTGTTTTCTGGAATAATTTGAAGAGAATTGGTATTAGGTCTTCCTTGAAGGTTTGATAGAAATCTTCACTAAAACCATCTGGTCCTGGGTTTCTTTTGGTGGGGAGACTTAATGATTGATGCGATTTCTTCAGGGGTTATGGGACTGTTTAGATGGTTTGTCTGCTCCTGATTTAACTTTGGTACCTGGTATCTGTTTAGAAAGTTGTCCATTTCATTCAGAATTTCCAGTTTTGTTGAGTATAGGCCTTTGTAGTAGGATCTGATGATTTTTTGAATTTCTTCACTTTCTGTTGTTATGTCTCCCTTTACAGTTATGATTTTATTAATTTGGATACTGTCTCTGTGAGCTCTGGTTAGTGTGGCTAAGGGTTTATCTATCTTGTTGATTTTCTCAAAGAACCAGCCCCTGGTTTTATTGATTCTTTGTATAGTTCTTTTTGTTTCTATTTGGTTGATTTCAGCCCTGAGTTTGATTATTTCCTGCCATCTACTCCTCTTGGGTGTATTTGCCTCTTTTTGTTCTGGAACTTTCAGGTGTATTGTCAAGTTGTTAGTGTATGCTCTCTGCAGCTTCTTTTTGTAGGCACTAAGGTCTATGAGTTTTCCTCTTAGCACTGCTTTCATGGAGTCCCACATGTTTTGGTATGATGTGTCCTCATTTTCATTAAATTCTTTTTTTTTTTTTTCGAGACAGGGTTTCTCTGTATAGCCCTGGCTGTCCTGGAACTCACTCTGTAGACCAGGCTGGCCTCGAACTCAGAAATCCACCTGTCTCTGCCTCCCAAGTGCTGGGATTAAAGGCGTGCACCACCACCGCCCAGCTTTTCATTAAATTCTAAAAAGTTTTTAATTTCTTTCTTTATTTCTTCCTTGACCAAGTCATCATTGAGTAGAGCGTTGTTCAGTTTCCACGTGTATGTGGGCTTTCCATTGTTTTTGTTATTATTGAAGACCAGCCTTAGTCCGTGGTGATCTGATAGGATGCAAGGGATTATTTCAGTCTTTTTTTTTTTGTTTATTCTGGCCTGTTTTGTGACCAATTATATGCTCAATTTTAGAGAAAGTAACATGAGGTGCTGAGAAAAAGTTATATTCTTTTTTTTAGGATGAAATGTTCTGTAGATATCTGTTAAATCCATTTGGCTCATAACTTCTGTTAATGTCATTGTGTATCTGTTTAGCTTCTGTTTCCATGATCTGTCCATTGTTGAGAGTGCGGTGTTGAAATCCCCCCCTATTATTGTGTGAGGTGTAATGTGTGTTTTGAGCTTTAGTAAAGTTTCTTTTATGTATGTAGGTGCTCTTGCATTTGGAGCATAGATGTTCAGATTTGAGAGTTCATCTTGGTAGATTTTTCCTTTGATGAGTATGACTTGTCCTTCCTTATCTTTTTTGATAACTTTTGGTTGAAAGTCCATTTTATTCAAAATTAGAAAGGCTACTCCCCCTTGTTTCTTAGGACCATTTTTTTGGAAAATTGTTTTCCATCCTTTTACTCTGAGGTAGTGTCTGTCTTTGTCACTGAGGTACATTTCCTGTATGCAACAAAATTCTGGATCCTGGTTACATATCCAGTCTGATAGTCTATGTCTTTTTATTGGGGAATTGAGACCATTGATGTTAAGAGATATTAAGGAAAAATGATTGTTGCTTCCTGTTATTTTTATTATTAGAGGTGCAATTATGTTTGTTTAGCTGTCTTCTTTTAGGGTTGTTGGAAGATTATTTTCTTGCTTTTTTTAGGTTTTAGTTTCCCTCCTTGTGTTGGAGTTTTCCATCAGCTATTCTTTGAAGTGCTGGATTTTTTGGAAGATACTGTGTAAATTTGTTTTTTTTCATGGAATATCTTGGTTTCTCCATCTATAGTGATTGAGAGTTTTGCTGGTTATAGTAGTCTGGGCTGCCATTTGTGTTCTCTTGGGGTCTGTATGATGTCAGTCCAGGATCTTCTGGCTTTTATAGACTCTGGTGAGAAGTCTGATGTAATTCTTATAGGTCTGCCTTTATATGTTACTTTACCCTTTTCCCTTATTGCTTTTAGTAGTTTTTTCTTTGCTTTGTGCATTTGATTATTATGTGACGGGAGGAATTTTTTTTTTTCTGATCTAGTCTATTTGAAGTTCTATAGGCTTCTTCTGTGTTAATGGACATCTCTTTCTTTAGGTTAGATAAGTTTTCCTCTATAATTTTGTTGAAGATATTTACTGGCCCTTTAAGTTGGGAATCTTCACTGTCATCTATACCTATTATCCTTAGGTTTGTTCTTCTCATTATGTCCTGGATTTCCTGGATGTTTTGGGTTAGGAGCTTTTTGCATTTTTGCATTTTCTTTGACAGTTGTGTCGATGTTTTCCATGGTATCTTCTGCACATGAGATTCTCTCTTCTATCTCTTGTATTCTGTTGATGATGCTTGCATCTATGACTCCTGACCTCTTTCCTAGGTTTTCTATCTCCAGGGTAGTCTCCCTTTGAGATTTCTTTATTGTTTCTCCTTCCATTTTTAGATCCTGGAGACTTTTGTGTAATTCCTTCACCTGTTTTGTTATTGTTTTCTTGGCAATTCTTTACGAGATTTTTGTGTTTCCTCTTTAAGGGCTTCTACCTGTTTCCCTGTGTTCTCCTGTATTTCTTTAAGGGAGTTATTTATGTCCTTCTTAAAGTCCTCTATCATCATCATGAGAAGTGGTTTTAATTGTGAATCCTGCTTTTCCAGTGTGATGGGGTGTCCTGGGCTTGCTATGGTGGGAGAACTGGGTTTTAATGATGCCAAGTAACTTTGGTTTCTGTTGCTTGCGTTCTTGCGTTTGCCTTTTATCGTCTGGTTTCTGTTGCTTGTGTTCTTGCGTTTGCCTTTTACCATCTGGTTAACTGTAGTGCTACCTGTGCTCACTGTCTCTGACTGGAGCCTCTCTTTCCAGTTTTCTTGCTTGTCTCAGAACTCCTCAGAGTTCAGATGTCTCTGTGATCCTGACTTCCTGGGTGGAAGAACTGCTGGGACTCAGGCCTCCTCTGGGATCCTGAAATTCTGCTGCTCTGAGTGCAGTGGTTCCTTCTCTTCTCTGAGTGTACTGGTTCCTCTAGGATGGCTCAGGATATGGTGTCTTCATGGGAGCAGACCAGCTAGGTGTCCCACTGCTCTGAGTGCAGTGGTTCCTCTAGGATGGTTCAGGATATGGTGTCTGCTAATCTGAGTGTAGTGGGTCCTCTAGGATGGCTCAGGATATGGTGTCTTCACAGGAGCAGACCAGGTTGGTGTCTGTCCCAGCCAAAAGGACCAAGTGAGGGGCAGAAAGGGAGTCCCCAAAATTTTTAATATGGTACTGCAAAAATGGCTCAGTATTTACGAGCACTTGCTGCTCTTCTAGAGCTTCAGATCTTAGTTTCCAGCATCCATAGCATGTGGTTCACAATCAGCTTCAGGGGATCTGACACCCTTCTCTGACCTGCACAAGCAACTCCCACACTTGGCATACAGACACACACACACACACACACACACACACACACACACTCACACAGACACACACATATCATAAGTACACAGCACCACCTCACCCACACCATATTTCCAGAGACAGACAGTCACACACAGACACACATAGGGCTGTACATACATACCCTCCAGACACATTATATACACAGACAAATATAGATTCACTACACACAAAAACACACATACACACACACACATCCCCCCGTCCCCCAAATAGTATAAAGTTTCTTTCTGGGACTAGAATTCACTTGCAGAACTTCCTTGGAAGAAGGGAAGAAATTAATAAATACATAAAAATACTCTTTAAATTGATGACATATTTACTCAATTTGTACCAAAAATTTGTGACTTGCTTAAAATCATATTAGTTGATATGTTTATATATTGTCAATATTTAAATATTTTGAACAGATTTGATAATCAAGAACCATAAAAAGCTTGTTTGTTTTGTTTTGTTTTTCAAGATAGGGGTTCTCTGTGTAGCCCTGGCTGTTGATCAGGCTGGCCTAAAACTCAGAAATCCCCCTGCCCCAGCCTCCTGAGTACTGGGATTAAAGGCATGCACCACCACTGCCCAACTGCAAGACATTTTTGATTCATGGCATTATCAGTATCTCTCAGACGTCTTCCACATTATCTTTCTGTGCTTGATTGGCAAGTCTGAGTTGTCTTACCTCTAAAGACATCTTTCTTCATTTTCTGAACTTTCCTTTCTCTCTTGCCTTCCTCTGTACCATGGTTTTTCTTTACAAGTCTTCAGCACTCTATTTTATCATGCTCTTCATCATGGACTCCTGTTACCTAGCACAGAAGTGTCCCCTTGTTAATACTCACAGTGAGCGAGGCTGTATTCTCTCTTCATCTTTGTTACTCTTTAATGTACATGTGCATCTTTTAGGTTTGTTTTCTCAAAGCCTGACATCTTAGACACAGGCTTAAATACTAATATTTGTATGCTCTCCTGCTTCTGCAGTCTCGTAAGCAGCTGTTCCAGTTTGCCATATGCTCCTTTGGAGCTGAGAAGGATTGTGTGTCTGTACTTCTGTGTTCTGACTTTGATTTACCCAGCACTTGCTGCATAGGAACTTCTGTGCTGACCACTGACCATTAGGGCTTGGCATAGCACTCTATACATAGTACACAGTCTGCCGAATTGATTCTCCATTGAATGTGGAAAATAAGAGAACACAGTGTGGGCTGCATATAGTGACAATAAAATCTATCTCACTGCTATCTTCCATGTTTTCCTCAGGGAAGGAAACAGAAAAGGCCAAGGAGCGCTATGACAAAGCTACAATGAAGCTTCATATGCTGCATAATCAGTATGTACTGGCACTGAAGGGGGCTCAGCTCCATCAGAGTCAGTACTATGATACCACACTTCCTCTGCTGCTGGACTCCGTGCAAAAGATGCAAGAAGAAATGATAAAAGCACTGTAAGATACATTTCCTGTTTATCATAAGATTCCTTCAAGCACGACTCAGCATTTCTCCCCGTTAAACATTTGCTTCAGAATCTTTGTTATTGCTGAGACCACTGGGCACCTCAGAGCCATTTACTTTTCTTGTTTCAGTTGTGCTCAGTGCCTAGCATGTCGAGGGATAGCCCTCTCTACAGCTGTGTTTGTCATTGACTCTGCTGCTCCAGTTAGCTCTATGTTTAAGTGAATACCTGCCTCCAGAGGGCTGGGCATTTAAACTTGATTTCAGAAGCTTCAAGTGGAGAACCTTTTGGAAGTTGATTTCCAGCTTCTTGTTCTTTTCCTCTATGAGATTAAAATACACTCATATTTATTAAAATTCTGGTGAATATAAAAAGCATACTGTTTGGTGCTTGGGAATGTATGTGTAGGTGGAGTTTCTTACCTTTTAACTAGTTAACAGTGTGTTGCAGTTAATAAGCACGTGGACATATATTCTGTCCTGTATTTAGGAGAGTGGGAAATGACGAGCCACATTTGATGGAGTTTACTTCCTTTATTTTTTGGTTTAGCATTTTGAAAATCTTTAAATTCATTTTGCTTTCACTGAAAATGTGTGTGGGCCTTTTTTCCTGATTAATATGAAATGTTTTTGTCTTTAACACTACTTTTCTATTAAAACAAAGAAATTATTTGGGTGTGATCAAGCAGGTCTTTCATCCTAGTACTTGGAGACGTTTATAAGTACAGGAGTTTTGTGAGTTTGAAGGAGCTCGGTCTACATAGCAAGTTTCAGGCCAGCCAGGGCTACATAGTAAGACCCCATCTCAAAAAGCAGCCAATTAGCCAAGCAAGCAAACACAAACCTTACAATAAGTGAAGTAACATCTAAGGGAGACTTGTGAGTAATGATTTTGTTTCATAAATAGTTATTTTAGAAATAGAAACAGAAACAGACAAACCCTGCTTTATATTTATACAGGTATATGCAGAATAGCCGTTTTTGCCCATACTTGCTTTGAAGCCAGTAATAATCAGTATTTATAAAACACAGCCCTTAAAAGTAGGGGATCTAGTCAGTGTGATAGAGTTCTTTTCCTTTCTTTTTAATTAGACCAAGCAAATAACCTTGATGCTTTTGCTACATACTGGAGGTCAGGAAAGAAACAGATCCCACCAAAATTGAAGTTTAACTAAATAATATATATATCCCCAGGACTAAGAGTGGAATGCAGCATTTGAGGAGTATCACACACTAGAAAAGAAACAGTAACACACACAGAATCCCTGTGCTGAAACAAAACAAAACAGAAAAAAACAAACAAAAGACACAAAAGTTTTTCTATAAGAATAGTGAGGATGCTGGGCAGTGGTGTCGCATACCTTTAATCCCAGCACTTAGGAGGCAGAGGCAGGCAGATTTCTGAGTTCAAGGCCAGCCTGGTCTACAGAGTGAGTTCCAGGACAGCCTGGGCTACAGGGAAACCCTGTCTCGAAAAACCAAAAAAAAAAAAAAAAAGAATAGTGAGGACATCCAAATACATATTTAAATTGGTAATGGTGTGTTTAAATTACTACATAATTACATAACCCCTTCATGCCCTCTTATATGAAATAAGGCAGTGTATGAAACCACCACTCTTAAAATACTGATACTACATTTTCTGTGTTTATTGTTCTAAATGCTTTCTAGTCAGTGTCTTTTAATAAAACATTAAAATGTAAAATTTTATTTTTGCTTTTCAGAAAAGGTATATTTGATGAATATAGCCAGATAACCAGCCTTGTTACAGAGGAAATAGTCAATGTCCATAAAGAGATTCAAATGTCTGTTGAACAGATAGATCCTAGCACTGAATATAATAATTTCATAGATGTTCACAGGTATGATATTTTTCTTCATTTTAAATGATTTATAAATATGTTGTTTTTCATAATAGAGTATTTAACAAACAAAATATTCTTATTAGAGTTGAGTTTATTTTATGAGTTTATTTTCATTTATTTATTAAAACTGTCTTAAACTTGATAACTAATTTATAAAACTATATTTAAGATTTTTTCAATTCATATGTCAATTATTGTTATGGTTAAATCTATATTTAACCTATGAAATTGTATTTCCTCAATATTTACATAATAAATGATACTGTGAGCTTACATGTGTATTAATTTTTCCAAGTCACCAATTACTGTCCCTTGTATGCATCTTGTTTTACACTTTAAAAAATCGTGATGGGAATTATTCTACAAATGAAGAAACCAAGGCGCAGGCTACATGGTTAGATCTTTCATACCTAGGGTTTTCTCTAAATTATACTGCTGTGTTTACTTTGTTAGCATAATTTTGAGTAATAGTAAATATTTTGCCTTTGGTATGTATGTACTGAGATAGATTATGATGGTATATGCATATTGACTAGAGTTATTTGGCATACTTTACTAGAACAACAAGTGCTAAAGAACAAGAAATCGAATTTGATACTTCCCTATTAGAAGAAAATGAAAATCTTCAGGCAAATGAGATCATGTGGAATAATTTAACAGCAGACAGTTTGCAAGTAATGTAAGTACTTAGAACATCATAACTGTAAAATGAGTGTTATCATTGCCTTATAGTTATTGTATTTCATCAGCTTTAAATTCCTCAAATTTTGCAAGTAATAAAAAATTTTGTCAGATTGATGTATTTCTTGTGTATATGTTGCGTGTCTTGTATGTATGTTTGTATGTGCTGTATGCTATATATGTGTGCTGTGGGGTGCATTCTTATGCAGAGGCCAGAGCAGGCCCTTGTGTGTGCTCCTTTAATGTTCTCATTCTTACTGTCCTGAGGTAGAGTCTCTCACTGAGTTGGAAGCTTACTGATGAAGCCAGGCTTTGGGAATTCCCCAGTTTCTGCTCTCAGTGCTGGGAGTATTGGGTGCACTGTCCTGTGGGCTTTTATATGTGGGTGCTTGTGATGGAGCTCCGGCCTACGTGCTCCACACAGCAAGTGTTCTTGCTTTTACCCATTGAGCCAGCTCAGCCTCCAGGTGACACAGTTTTGGATATATATTAGTTTCCTTATCATTATCATTAATTTTAAAAGTCTGAATTTTTTGTGATGTTGTATTAATTTTTCTACTATTTGCCAGTATATGAGAATAATATTTATCCTTTAAATTTTTTTTTTTGTTTTTGTTTTTCGAGACAGGGTTTCTTTTTGTATCTCTGGCTGTCCTGGAACTCACTCTGTAGACCAGGCTGGCCTCGAACTCAGAAATCCACCTGCCTCTGCCTCACAAGTGCTGTTAAAACTTTTAACTTTGTTTTATTGTCAATACTTACTGGCAGAGCCATTTTGGAAATGTAGACACTGAACTTGAGAGGTAGGAGTCATTGCTGTCACAATGGTATGATGCCTACAGTTTTACTCTTGATTGAGTTCTTTTCTCTTGAAGCAAGGCTATATTCTATTACAAATGATTCAGTCACCTTCCTTACCTTGTTCTTTTTGTGTATAAACTTGGTGGGGTTTTGAGAGATCCTAACAGTTTTTTAATCCACTTCAATCACTAAAGGCAATTAAAAGTACTTTGTGACTTGTGAAAACATAACTAAGGTCCTGTTGAAGTTATCTCATGATTTTGTTCAGGGATTAGAAACATAAGCATTATATATGTTTATCCTTGTGTTAGAGTTAAAGGTAGAAAGTCTTTATTCATTTCTTGTCAATATTGGGCATGGTATATTATTTTACTTGTTCAAAATTTGCTTTTAATGACTCAGACAAAAGACTCAGACTTATGAATATAATTAATCTATTATTCAGATACTACAGGTATAGGTAATCTATTAGGAGAAGATTATAGGATTTGTTTTTACACAGAGGTTGAAGTATCTAAAGGAGGCCATAGAATTAAAGGAACTAACACATGCTCTTCTAAACACCTATTTGTGATGAAGCCTCATGAATCACAGGGGGTTGATTACTGTTGAGCGAGTTGAATGTATGGGTGTCCTCTGCACCAGTGATGAGGGAGTGGAAGGCGTGGGCTCCTCTGAGTCAGTGATGAGGGAGTGGAAGGCGTGGGCTCCTCTGAGTCAGTGATGAGGGAGTGGAAGGCGTGGGCTCCTTTACACCAGAGTTGTAGGAGTAGAAGACATGGGGTTCCCTATGTTAGGGAAGTTTTTTTCAGCAGCAGCTTGACCGTTCACTCTCACAGGATGTTCTTGTCCTCTATCTGGGTCTCTGCTTGATTTGGCCATGGTTGTTTTAGTCTTAGCCACATATAAAGTAGTAGTTCTTATCTGGGCTCATTTTGTCCTCCAGGGACATTTGCCAGCTGGGAATGGTAGGCAGAGATTTAGCTAAGCATCTGTCAGGTCAAGAACAGCCTCTTAGAAGAAAAAATTTCTGGCAGCAGTTTCAATAGTGTTGAAATATGCTTGAGGGATAGTGCGTACTGCTGAGACAATTGGTAGAATTTACCGTGGCAAGGCCTCCATTTCTTAATTCACACGCTACATGTTAACAAACTGTCCATGAGTCCCAAGATTTGTTATCACTACGTTTTCCTCAGTACCTTTTGTACTCATCAAAGTCTTTTACAGTATATTTAAAGTTATATGATTAATAGTCTCAAATCAGCAGTAAAATTGATCATTCATTTTAATGAAGAGCAAATAAAATGAAAATATAAATGCTGGAATTATAGTATGGTAATATTAAAGATGACTACATGTTAAGTGCTTGTGAGAAGAGATTTTTGGCCAAATAGTTTGTTTTATTGATTTTCAGAGTATAATTAGAATCATTATCTCAACAAATCACTGTTCATTTGGTGATAAAGCAGTGACCCTCCCCATAACCAATGAATTAAAGATAATAAATATGTGATAATGTAGTAAATTGAATTGCTTATATCTTCGTTAGTTAAAACTTTATCTACATTTCATTGAACATTAGTTATTCAGGATCTGAGTTGAAGGTAGACTCACACATGTATGTGTATGGATTTTACAGTGCTAATGGTCAAATTTAAGGCTCATGTGTGGTAGGCAAGAAGTTTACCACTATTCTAGTTTGCTTTCTGTAGCTGTGACAGATACGCCAACTGACAGCAACTTTGAGTAAGGGAGGGTGTGTTTAGTTTAATAAGTACAAGTTGTGACCCGTTATCTAGGGAAGTGGAGGCAGGAGCTTGAAGGCAGTCCTGCTCGCTCTGACATGGCATTACCTCTGACCAGAGAGGGAAGACGCAGTTGTTTGTAGTAAATTAAAGATTAGAAGTTATTTCTAAACAACGAGAACATTCATAGACCCATCCACAAGTAATTCTGAATGTCAGCAGTATGGTTAAGACATTTATTTCTTTTGGTGATATTTTCTAATCTTTAGTGAAGTCTCCTTAGTATGCCAACACCTATCAATATGCCATATTAAAATTCTACAAGATTGTGTAAAATGCTAAATCTTGTGATCTAAAGTAAGACCTAATCCCAAGACTTTGTGTTTTCCAATAAATTTTAAGGAAAAATTAGAATCAGTTTAACTTTTATAATGGAGCATAAGTCTGTTCTCTTCACTGAGTGATAGTAATTGTTTTGGGTCTTGTAGAGTCCAAGTTAGCAATCTGTTTATGGAACTTGAGAATCAAATCCATTTTGCTGCCTATCTTTTAAAGCCCATGAACTAAGAATGACACTAATATTTTAAAATGTTGAAAATATCAAAAGCACCATCTTTTGCGGCACATAAATAATCACATGAGATTTGTCATTTTTGGATGCTTTCAGAGTAGCAGTCAGGTAGTTGTGCTGTGACAGGCAGCATTGCTGGCCTCTGCTGCTTGTCACTACACAAATCATAGTACCATTGTGATTGCCACCCACACTACTGCACTATAGCATTTCATTTTTATCAATTGATGCCTGTTGTGTCAAAATAAGAAGAGACAGTGGATTTCAGATGGCTGACTTAGGTACTGTGGACTTAGATGGCAGAATATTACATTAGGTCTCTAGTTGGAAGCAGCTAAAATGTCAGGCTATGTTCAAGAAATACTTTTGAAATGCTGACTTTAAACTTTGGGGGAATGTAAAAGAATTTGAAGGCAGATGTTAGGAGGACAGTTTGAGGAAATAAGCTGTTTAAAAGAAATAGTTCGATTTTTTGGGTTGGAAGTAGATTAGGTTGAGTTTGATTGGATGTATTCATCAGAAGCTTATAACTGCTTGATTAATTAGTAACCATCTTATGACACCAGTGAACATGACAAACTAGACAGAGAAAAGTCCACAAGGCCTCAACCGGACCGAAGAACTATAGGTATCTGCGGGATGCTGGGAGCAGGAGTGGCGAGCAGGAGGCGGTGCTCCTCCACAGAGAAAAGCACACCAGTTGTTTGTCCATGCCACGTAACAGTCACTGGACTGAGCAGCTTATATTTAGGAGTATGTATGTACACACATAGCCATGTTAAAGATTTACTTGTATGGAAACACACAGCTCCAAAATGTCTGCTGTGGATGACAACTTGTTAGAAGTTACATGACAATACCCTTTTAACTAACTAGCACCATTTTGCTTTTAAGGGCATTCTTGGACACAAGTTTTAGAAAAGTATAAATGACCAATCAAATTATTGTTATTTTTAGTTTCTTATATTAAATTTCAATACTGTTATTTTAATTGTGACTTTGGATTTTTTTTTCCCCAAAGGGAAGATGGATTGTATTGGCTTAAATTATATGTTCTGGTATTACTTTAAAATGTACTTGCAGCATCATAGGATTTTATGGAGGACTTTTGGTATCATGACACACATCTTTTACTTTTGAGATTATAATATAATTACATTCCTCTTCCCTTTCATTACTAATGCCCTGGGTTCAAGTCCCTCTAGAACTAGAACTAGAAAAATGCAGTGAATGCATGTAGATGTTAAAAATGTATGCAGCCTTACAAGAGGATGCACATGGAAGTCAGGATTTGTTTATCTTCTTTTTGTAAACATCCCTATTACTACCTTCCAGGAATAATTCACAAAAACATTTTATGTATCATCTCAGAATATATAAAACATTTTAAATTATTTTGATGTAAATTAAGATTATATTTAGATATCCTTTTAAAAAGATTATTTTTATTTCATGTACATTGATGCTTTGCCTACACATATCTATGTGAGATATTGAATCCCCTCAAACTAGAGTTATAGACAGTTGTGAGCTGCTGTGTGGTTGCTGGGAATTGAACCCAGGTCCTTTGCAAGAGCAGCCAGTGTTCTTACCTGTTGAGCCATCTCTTTAGACTGTCCACTTAATATACATGAAATATGTTTTAAATTGAAATAGAATTACATCACATTCCCTTTCCTCCCTCCAGCTCCTCCTTGCTACCTTCCCTTGAACTCCTCCTATTTCATCCTCTCCTTAATATAAAAGCCTCTTTTTTTCATTAGTATTATTATGTGTTCATGTGCATACACTCACAAATATATATATATATATATATATATATATATATATATATATATATACACACACACACACACACACACATATATATATATGCTTATA